AAAAAAAAAAAAAAAAGATTCTCTCTCCCTTTCCCCCCCGCCCCTTCCCTCTCTCCCTCTCTAAAATACATACACACATACATACATAAATGAAATCTTCATAAATAAAAAATAAATAAAAATTCCTTTGGATACTCCCTTTATCTCTACCCCCCAAGATCCATGTTGGCAATCATCCCCCAGGCATGTGGCCCACTGACAGACATTTGAAGGGTCTCATGACTCAGGTTTTATTAGACAGTAGTAAATGACCTTTTCCCAACAAGAGCTAGCCCCTCAAGGTCCTGGAAACCTTGCTTCCGAAATTACTTAGGGACTTCCGCACTCCCTAACGATGAGGGAGCAGAAGGCTTGCTGAGGACAGCGCAGAAGCTGGTGTCCTACCCGCCCCCCCCGCCCCCGCCCCATGTGGCATGGGTGACATTCCTCATGCACTCCTGGCTGCCCTAAAGGAAAAACAAACAGTTAACGATAGAGATCACAGTCTTGCAGGACAGGAGTCTCCCTCAGTTTACTTACAAAAGCCTTAGCAATAGCTTCCAGAAGGAAATGTAAATAAAACTGAATTTCTTCTAAACCTAAAGCCCATTGACAAATACGTGTGATAGGAGGAATGTAACATCCCTCCAGGAAACTCCCAACTGTCTTCATGTTAGTGCCTCATTAGAGGGGAAAACAGCCTTGGCTTGACAATAACCAGGCCTCCAGTACCCGGAGAGTCTTTAGCATACGACAGTCCTTCTGAACACCCCCTTTGTCCTCACCTCCCCAACTCCCGAGTATATAATCAGCCACCCCTCACAACTCCGGGACAGCAGCTCTTTCCGCCCACGGGTTCTGTCCCCGTGCTTTAATAAAATCATCTTTTTGCACCAGAGACATCTTAAGAATTCTTTTTTGGTTGTCGGCCCCAGACCTCACTTACATTCTAAAACTACATCACTAACCCCCTCCCAACTTGAAAGTATATAATGGGCCACTCCTCATGACCCCAGTGCAACTCTCTGTCCACGGGTCCTGTCCCCGTGCTTTAGTAAAAATTTTTTTTAAAGATTTTTATTTATTTGAGAGAGAGTGAGAAATGAGAGCGAGAGAGAGAGAGCATGAGAGGGGGGAGGGTCAGAGGGAGAAGCAGACTCCCTGCTCAGCAGGGAGCCCGATGTGGGACTTGATCCCGGGACTCCAGGATCATGACCTGAGCCGAAGGCAGACGCTTAACCAATTGAGCCGCCCAGGTGCCCCTCTGTGCTTTAATAAAACCACCTTTTTGTACCAAAGACGTCTCAAGAATTCTCCCTTGGCTGTCGCCTCTGGACCCTACCCCACCGAACCTCACCTATGTCCTAAAGCTACATCAGCATGACCCCACCAGCTTACAGAAACACGTGTGCGCACGCACGTTCCCACACAGAGGAAACATCCAGAAGGGGACACATCAAATACTTAATGGTGTTGTGTTAGCTGGGAACGCGAAGGGCTGGGGCTGGGGGAAGGTCAGGGGCTTTGTGGTTTTTATGCTCTCCTATAACGTGAAGGTCATTCATGATGTGAGGAACAAAGGCGAAAGAAATGTAGATAAAATTAAATTTCCTTATAACCTGCAGCCTATTGACAAATACTTGGGACAGGCAGAGTATAATATTCCTCCAGGAATTCCCAATCTTCATGTTAATGCCTTGCTAGAGGAAAGACAACCTTAGCTTAACAATAGCCAGGCCTCCAGGATCCTGTGAGTCTTTAAGATAGGAAAATCCTTTTGAAAACTTTGCACTGTCTTTACCTCCCCCAACTCCAAAGTATATAATCAATAGCTCCTCACAATCCAGGGGCAGCTCTTCCTGCCCACGGATCCTGTCCCTGTGTTATAATAAAACCACCCTTTTTTGCACCAAAAACGTTTCAAGAATTCTTTCTTGACCGTTCGCTCCTGAACCCCACTCCAAATCACATCAATTCACACCAGCCTGTGATATTTCTATGATCATCAAAATAAAAAGGAATGTAGCTGGATTCAGGAAGAGCAAACCTTCCTTGGCACTTAGTAGGCACTCTGCATGTTAACCCACTAAGTACTCACAGCCACCCAATGGGGGAGGAGCTTTTCCTAGCACCTTACTGTTTGGTAGACACAAATATGGAAGAACAATGGGGGAGCAGGGTTTGAACCCAGGCATTGGACTGCCTCCCATGGTTTCACAGAAGCCACTTCAGGCCCTGGGGACAGCTGTTGGGGCCATGGTCCTTGCCCACAGGACATTTTGGCTGAATCAGAGCAAATTCCTGTCCCCCACCCCTGAAGCATGCATGCATGCTGGGAGGCATGATCTCCCCTGCGTTGCTCCTGCAAACAGGCATTCCTGCAGGCAAACAAACCTAGGGGTATCCAGAGAGCCAACTGGGTCTGAGCGCCTTCAGATCCCAAAATCAGGTCACTGGCTGATTAGTACAGGAATGAGGGAAGAAGGCAGAGGCCTCACCAGCAACCCCAAATCATTGCTACAACAAAATGTCACACAAAATTAGCTCAACCTAAACCAGTCAGCCACGCTGACTCCGACACCCAGGCTTCCTTCCAATGAGAGCCCCAGAAGCAGGCCTGGGTCTGCAGCGCATGCGCCCTTGGGACGGCCACCAGCTAGCCGGGGGGCCCCCAGCCATCCGGGCCTAGCCCTCAGCTGGAAAACACGGGCTGCAGCCTTCCCTGTCCTGAAGGCTGAAGCAAGTAGGCACGCTTCCCACTCTCTCACGAGGTCCATAGGGGAGTCACATTCCCAGAGTCAGAAAGAGGATGGTGGGTACCAGCGGCTGTGGGAGGCGTTAGTGTTTACTGGGGACAGACTTTCAGTTTGGGAAGATGAGAACGTTCTGGAGAGGGAGGTGGGGATGGGGCACAGCAGTGACAACGTGCTTCGTGCCACTGAACAGTTACACGCCGTTAAAACCGTAAATTTCAAGTTATAAATGTTTCACCACAATTAAAATAATAAAACCCAGCGCACTGAAAACACAACCCTCCAGGTCCACCTGGCCCCCACCACCACCTAAGTGCGAGCACAAACCCACAGCCTGTGCAGGTGGCCATGGAGACGAGGTGCCCACACCAGCCCCACAGGCACGAACGGGCAGGATGGCTCCATCCCTGACTGGTGACCCTCCGCTGCCTCCTCAAACCCCCCTGGGGCCACCCCCATCTGTACCTGTCCTGCCTCTGAGCTCCCCCGGTGGCCCCCAGCCCTGCCCGGGATGCCTATAGGGTCTCAGGCTCTCATCTTTTTCCCATTATAAAAACATCAAGGACACTGGGAAATAGCGGAAAATAAAAAAGTGAATATCATCTGTGAATATCATCTCCTGATAATAAACTTCTAACACGCCAGGTCAAGTCCCACTGAGTCCCCTGGGGCACCTGACCCTCTCCCCTGGCCCTACCCTCCACCATTGGACTGGCCCTACATGACCCCGGCAAAGTGGCCACCCTCTGCCCAGGATGGGCTGGGACTCTCCACACACTCCCCTTCCACGCCTTTATCCACGTGGCCCCCCCACACCCCCAAGACCCAGTCATCCAGTGACGGGGGGAGCCAAGGCAAAAAGAAATGGTAGATAAAACTAAATTTCCTTGACAAATGCTTGAGGCAGGCAGAGGATGAAGTTCCTCCAGGAACTCCCAAGGGTTGTCATGTTAATGTCTTGCCAGAGCCAAAAACTACCTTAGCTCAACAATGGCCAGGCCTCCCGGATCCTATAAGTCTTCTTTAACGTAAGAAAACCCTTTGAGGGGGGCGCCTGGGTGGCTCAGTCATTAAGCGTCTGCCTTCGGCTCGGGTCATGGTCCCAGGGTTCTGGGATCGAGCCCCGCATCGGGCTCCCGGCTCAGCGGGAGGCCTGCTTCTCCCTCTCCCGCTCCCCCTGCTTGTGTTCCCTCTCTCGCTGTGTCTCTGTCTGTCAAAAAATAAATAAAAAATCTTTAAAAAAAAGAAAAACCTTTAAGAAAACCCTTTGGGAAATCTCCTTTGTCTCTACCCATCCCAACTTAAAAGTATATAATCAATCGCTCCTCACGACCCCAGCGCAGCTCTTTCTGCCCGCGGGTCCTGTCCCTGTGCTTTAATAGAACCACCATTTTTGCACTAAAAACGTCTTCAGAATTCTTTCCTGACCATTCACTCTCTGGGCCCCCAGACCCCGGCCCTGCCCACCACCCCAGAGCCCCTGGTCTGGCGTGTCCCCAAGCCCCGGCCCAGCAGCCCTGGGAGGGCCTGACAGGAAGAAGACTCTCCCGGGCAGCTCCAGCCATGCCCCGGCAGCTTGGTTTCACTTTGCATTCCTGTAAACAGAGGCACAGCCCGGTGTGAGGGAGGGGCGAGGCGGCGGAGGGGCGGGGAGGCAGGAAGCACCGTGCCGGGCGGGGGCGCTGGGGGAGATCGCCATCGCTCCTGAGACTCCGGCCCTCGGGGATCCCGCGGAGTCCCACCCCGGGAGCCCCGCCAGAGGGACCAGGACCGGCCCCGCTCCCGCCAGCCGCAGGGGAGGGCCCCCACGTGAGAAGCCAGCGCCCCGGCCGCTCTCCAGGCCTTTGCCAGCCTCTCGGAGGCAGGGGTGGGGACGCTTGGGACCTGACCCGCCCTCCCTACCTGCTGGGATGGGCAGCGCCGTGGACGGTGACCCCCGGGCTACTGTGAGGACGGGGAGACTTCATGGCATCCTGTAAAAATGCCACACGTCCAGGCTCCCACACAGACCTTCCTTTGCCGGTTGTGTTGGCAAGCGCCTGGGCTGCCCCCTGCAGCGCACTGAGACCCCCTCGCAGAAAACCGGAGCAGGGCAGAGGTACTGCGCTCCCCTGGAGACCCCTGGGAGGAGCGAGCGTTCTCCCAAAGAGGTGGATCTCCAGGAGGCACCAGCACTGGACCCAGACTCCAGGAAAGCCCATCGGGGTCCTCGGCCTATCCATCCGGGATCCCCCTGCTTTACCTGGTCACAGTAATTCATTTCCACCCTGGAGGCCCACACTCAACCTCTGCCCCACACTCACGCTGCCTCACCCCTGACCCCTGACCCCCACTACAGGCAGGGCCAGCAGGGGCTGGAGCTGCTTATCCACGCAGCCCAGGTGGTGGCACTTCAGAGCAAACAGAGGGGGCCGCCAGCAGCCCCCCTTCCCTCCCTTCCTTTGGAGGCTGCAAGACCATGGCTTCCCCCGAGGGCACAAGCCCTGCAGAGCCGCTGGCCTGGGCTCAAATCCTGTCTCTGCCAGTTGCTGGCCGTGGGACTGCACACAGGTTACTTAACCTCTTTGCGCCTCACCCTTGGCATCCGTAAAATGGGAATTTATGATAGCTCCCCCCTCAATACTTAGCACAGCACCAGGCTCTCACCAACTGGTCTGATTTGGGGTTTTTACTCTCTGGGGTCCCAAAGACCCCCGTCACGAGGTCTCCCACTCAGGATGTTGTAGTGACCAGGGTGTGGAGCCCTAGCAGGTGGAAAATTCCACCTGGACACCAGGAGCTCAGCTATGCCCTGGTTCCATATCCAGACAGCAAGGAATCAATGAGGACAGCGGACACCAAGCCAACTCAAGCACGACTGCGTGAGTCAAGTCCCTCGTGTTCCAAAGGAAAAGACAGACTCCCCAGATCTGACTCCAGCCAGAGCTCGTCCCTAAAGGGGCAGCAGCAAAAGAAAATCAAACAAAAATTGACAACAAAAGCAGTCGCCTCTTCGTACGTCTTACAGTCAGTCCAATAAAAACATCTGTGACATGAGCACCTTGTACGCAGACGGCAAAAACGAGTGAGTAACGAACCAGTGACTCCCCTTCACACCTAACACACAGTGCACCCTTGATCACCCAGAGGTCGGCAAGCAAGAAGGGCTGGTACGGACAGCATTTACTGACTCCCGTACAAACACACACAACCTGTATTTAGAAAACACACATGATCTTCTAGAGGACTTTCTTTGATTGGTCCAGAAATTATTACTCAAGCACCTACTGTGTGCCAGGGACTTGGAGTAAAGCAGCCAACAAGAGAGCAAAGGTCTTGTCTGGAGCCACACACTGCCGTGGGCCAATGCCAGAAGGACACACAGCCTGGTAAAGTGTGGGCGGTGGGGGGGGGGGGGCAGGTGTAGTTCTCAATGGGGTAGACAGAGTGAACCTCCAGAGGAGAAGGTGGAGGAGCAAAGACAGGTGAGGGGGTAATGGTGCTGCCCTCAGAGGAAAGGTATATTCCAAGCTGAGGGAACAGGCAGTGCAAAGGTCCTGTGGTCCAAGAACACCTAGGAAAGGAAGGAAGGCAGCCTGTGACCCTGGACACCAAGAGAGTTAAGGACTGACCTGAGCCGGCTGGTGGGGGGGCCACCTGACATGATTCCCCCTTCAGGCACTGACCTGCCACCGGGAAGGGTCCCATCCAGGCTGTGGGGACCCCGCACCCCATCACAGCATCTGGGACACCACTTCCACACAGCATCCTCTGAAATCCACTAAGATCCCTCAGTTCAGCCTGACACTTCCCAGTCCCGAGAAGGAGGAGAACCCTCAAGTTCTCTCCAAGAAATGAAATTGAAAATTTTGTTTTTGTTTTTAATTTGTCAGGGAGAGAGAGAGAGAGCACAAGCAGGGGGAGTGGCAGGCACAGAGAGAAGCAGGCTCCCTGCTGAGCAGGGAGCCCGATGCGAGGCTCGATCCCAGGACCCCGGGATCATGACCTGAGCTGAAGGCAGCTGCTTAACCGACTGAGCCACCCAGGCGCCCCTGAAAGTTTTTAAAAAGCAACAAAAGCTTCCAGCAAAGGACCAGATGAAACTGTCCTTCTAACAAAAGCGCTTCTAGTAAGAGTTCCTCCAGCCATAGAAGACCTCATACTACCCGACTGAGCTGCCTGCTGGCCACAGTTTCCATTTCAGTGAAGGGAAGTGGGACTGGGCTGCTGCCTACCCCACCGCCCCCATTCAGCCCTTACCGGCTAGGGGGGCTGCAGGAAGCAGCCTCTGTCCACACTGGCTGCAGAACTTGGGGGCTTCATCTTTGGAGACATGCCCACACGAAAGACACTCCATTCCTCCAGGGATGGGTCTTCTCCAGGCGGGAACGCTCCTGCAGATCTGGAAGAAAAAGGAAGGGTCCCCAGGCAGCTGGCTATATACTGAGCCACCTGTCACGTGACCACAGCCCAGCTTCAGTTTCATTTTCTGGGAAAGTGAAGTAACAGCGCCCAGAAGGTCCTCCCGCTCAATCGAAACCTAGCACTAGCACTTCCCCACCTGCAGCACTCATAGCCCTGGCCCCCCGACCAAGTAACCGCCCCACCCCCGGCTCCAACCGGAGGCATCTCCCCCTCCCCCTCCCCCACCAGGGGCTCCAGCACCCTATTCCCTTTCTGCTCCCCCAGCCAGACTCGCCCCTCCTGGGCTCTCCGTCACTCAGTGAGTCGAAAACTGTCCCCCCTGGCTGAGACTGGGGGCTGGGACAACTGAGAACTAGGTGGGGGCGGAGGGGGGTTTGTTCCAGGCAGAGACACAGCCCGTGCGAAACCCTGGGATAACGCATGGTGCAAGCAAGCGTGCACTGGACAAGGGGCACAGAGACAAGCACCTGCTCACAGGTGACACGGGGACTAGGCGAGGCAGACAGCACTGCAGAGATGCCGGAGCGGACCCGAGGGACCCGCCTGCGCCGGCAGCCCAGAGCTAACGGGGCTAGTGGTCAGGACTCCTAACAACGGGCTAACGGGCTGCGTCCTGCCTGCTTCCAGCCAGCTGCCCGCCCCTGCCTCCCCCTGACTTGGCTCACTGTCCACCAGACAGTGAGCTCTCGGGGGCAGGGCAGAGCTACGCTGGTGTGTGCCACGTTGCCCGGCTCAACCCGACACCGTCAAGCCCTGGCCCCCACCTCGCCCCTCACCACCACATGACCAGGGAAGTGACCACCATCCTGGTCTGGGCTTTTGCTCTGTGACTTTCAGTGACTCCCCACGGCCCAGGCCTCTACCCCTAAGTTGCCCTCCTCCGCAAGGCTCTGCTTCCCACCCACCAAGAAAGTCACAAGAGGGCTCAGAAATCCTCCGTGAAGTGTCCCATTGTTTCTCGCCCCCACCAGGAGCCTAAGGGCATAAACGAGAACCCAAGAGAACACGCACAACACTCTATCCAGTCGCTTCCGGACTTCAGAACGGTGCCAAACTCAAAGCCCATCCTCCCAACCGCCACCAAACCAAGCCTACCAGCGGGGGTGGGGGTGGGGGGTGGGGGACAGGGAGCGGGGGCGGGGGCGGGTCAGGGGCGGCCGGCCGCCCCCATCTCTGCACTCGCTCCTTCTCTGGCCTCCCCGCGGCCACCTCGTGGCCCTTAAGGCTGTCGCGGCAGAGGTGCCCACCCTGGCCTGGTGACCGTGGCCGTGGCCGTGGGCAGCCCTGGAAACTGCGGAGGACGCTGCGCTCCGGGCGGCGCGGTTACGGGGGCGGGGATGCCGTTCTCCAGAAAGTTACTGTGGATACACATGGGGGCACCCCCGGGCAACAGCGCCGCTCCGGTGTGGCAACTCGAGAGAGCAAGGATTCCGCTCCCGGGGCAGGCTGCCCGCGGCCCGGGAGTGGGGTCCGCACG